TGAGAAAGCAAGTTTCCAGAAAAGAGATAGCATTTGCAAAGGTCCTGATGCAGGAAAGAGTGTGGGCAGCTCATTTAGAGTGATGGGAAGTTGGGGGAGTGGTTGATGCAACAGGAGAAATAGCTAGAAGCCTGGAAAGGTTGGAGGATCCTGGAGCCAAGTTAAAAATTTTATGTCAAGGGCACTAAGAAGCCATGGAAAAATTTTAATGACATTTTCCTGCCTGCCTCTTGCATTTCAACCCATTATTTACCAGTATAGACCCTCTTATCTTTAGGTATAGACATGCTGCACAGGCAAGTATACTACCCTTTCAGAATGAAACACATGGGCAGCTTAGCAAAAACCATGCTTAGTAGCATAGAGCAGAAAGAGTGTGAGCTCTAGAATCATAATGCTTGGGCCTATATGATACTGAACAAATTTCTTAACTTCTCCAAGCTCCTGTACTCTACAATTGGTAATGTAACATTTAAACCCTTATCAGGTTGTTGTAGGGTCAGAAATAACAAGTACATTACCTATGTCTGGCACTCTATAGGTAGTAGCTGTCACTATTTTAACAATGCTTTCTTGCCAACACAGATTTTAAATTCCTCTTTGGCAGTGGAATCACAAAATCATATATTGTCAAATTGGGGCAAAACCTCAAAGGCCCTTCTTGCATCTCTTCTGCAACGCTGACGATCAGTTGGTTTGTTGTCCAGCATTACTTACAACATCCAGAGACAGGAAGCTCACTACTGTCTGAAACAGCCACTCCATGTTTGTACTCTATTAGATAGTTCTTTTTTTTTGGACTGAATCCAAATCAGCCTTCTTGTATTTATCTACTGAGACCCCTCTAGCCAGGGGTCTTGGTAGTGCCCCTCATGCCTCTTCCAGGTATTTGAAGTAATTGTATTTACCACCACTCATCTAAAGTTGGAAAGCTTTTTTCTTGCCTGACAACAACAACAATAATAAAGGGGTCAATTAATCAAGAAAATACAACTGTCCTAAAATATACACCTACCTAACAATAGAGCTTAAAAACATGAAGGAAAGAGTGACAGAAGGAGATTTTAATAACAACAGCAATAATTTACTGGGCATCCACCCTATACTTAGTGCTACAGGCACATAGATAAGCCAGTCAATCCTATCAATTGAAGAAAGACAAGTAAATAAATATAACATTACAGATTCTGTGCAGGAAAAAGCATGGGGTAGAGGACACCAAGGGACAGTCATCTTTATGAAGGACGGGACTACCTTCTTATAAGGGATGACACAAACTGTACCCTGAAAATCGAGTAGGTAATACAGTAGTTCCCCTTGTCTGCAGTTTCAGTTACCTGCAGTCAGCCATGACAGTCTGACACACTAAATGAAAAATTCCGGAAATAAACAATTCTTAAGTTTTAAATTGTGCACTGTTCTGAGTAGCATAATGAAATTTCATATAGTCCCACCTCATCCCTCCTGGGATGTAAATTGTCCCTATATGCTACAGTCTGTTAGTCACTTAGTAGCCATCTCAGTTATCATTGTTGTTGTATCATGGTGCTTATATCCAAGTAATCCTTATTTTGCTTCTGTTGTTACAATTGTTCTGTTTCATTATTAGTTATTGATAATCTCTGTGTTTAATTTATAAATTTAACTTTATCATAGGCAATTGTGTATAGGAAAAAACATGGAATATACAGGGTTCAGTACTTACTATCTGTGGTTTCAGGCATCCACTGGGGGATCTTGGACCTTATCCCCTGCAGATAAAGGGACTACTGTATCCGCACTCACTTAGACTTAACCATTTGTGCTGTTTGTTCTAAAATATCATTTTATAGGCTTTGGTCACACAAAGTATTCAAAACAGCCACCATCAGTAAGTGCAAATACATTCCTACAAGAAATGTTGATTTTCCCTATTAGCATTCATTACAAAGCCTCTTTTAGAGTCAGAATAATGGAAACCAGACACAGAAGAAGAATGGAATATTTGATTTGCTGTATCTGCAAATAGATAGCAAATATTTGGAAAGGAGGAGCCACAAGTACTTTTTCTTAAGCAGTGAAATAGAAGACTGAAGGTGTACTATGTTTGTTATGGCCATACCGTACAGGAAGGCCACAGAAGATGGGGAGCAGTAAAGCATTTGCCCCAATGATATTGAAAGCTGTGTAAAAGCAGCGTGGTAGTCATGCTCTGATGCCTGTTTCTTCCAGTGGGGCCCTGTGTTAGATCCCAGGGCAAAGACGACCTGTCCAGGAGGCTGAGGCATGTGTACAGTGTGATCCAAATCAAAAAGAGCTAGAGAATATTAAAAAAGGATTATCTGATGTATGCTGGAAATGCTGAGGATAGATCCTTGAGCAGATGAAACTATCCCTTCCTAAAGGAGGTAGCATATCTGAGAATAAATACAAAAATTAAGTCCTCCCAACCTCCTGGAATGGGGCCTTCTCCATTAGCACCATAACGAGCAAAGGCAGTGAACTTCGAGCTGCTGCCTTCAAGAAGAAACAAATGAGACAGAAACCTGAGAGTAGAATATTGGTGGAGACTAAAACTGTTATATTTTTTAAGCTTGTTAAGAAGAAGAAGCCCTGCAAGGAACAGTTATAAATCTAAGGATCTTGAAATATTCCTCAAAACAAGAAATAAATAATGAGGGCCCTGGCTGGTGTGGCTCAGAGGATTGAACACCGGGCTGCAAACCAGAGGGTTGCTAGTTTGATTCCCAGTCAGGGCACATGCCTGGGTTGTGGGCCAGATCAGGTCCCCAGTAGGAGGCACTCAGGAGGCAACCACACATCGATGTTTCTCTTCCTCTTTTTCTCCCTCCCGTCTCCTCTGTCTAAAATAAAATAAATAGAATCTTTAAAAAAAATGAGAAAGTATACAAAAGTTTCTTTCACAGTGTGCAAGCCTTCCATGTTTGGAAATCAGTGAAGAGGATAAAACAAGTGTTACAAGCAAAAAGTACTGATGAAGACAAGTGAGGGAAACAGGAATGTTGAGTGGAAGTTCATAGACACCAGTCCCATCCCCATTGCCCAGTTGAGGGGATTGAAGTTCAGAGAGAGTATTGGATTCCAGACACAAATTGGACTCCTTTCACCAAGCAGTGCACAGCACTGCAGCCCTTACTTCACAAAACAGGAACTTACTCCAGAGAAATCTTCATCTCATTATGATACTTCATCAAGTGGTTATCTACTCTGCTGGAGCACAATGTAACCAACTCTTCTCTTCCTCATTTGCTGGGCTAGCCATTGTTTTTTAATAAAGTAGTTCACTTCAGGTGTTATTATTGAAATATATTATACTCAAACATTGAGATATTTATATACCATAAAGTTTACTCTTTTGAGGTGTATAATTCATTTTCTTAGTATATTCATGAGGTTGTGCAACTATCACCACTGTCTAATTCCAAATCATTTTCATCTCCTTGTAAAGAGACCTCATATGCATTAGCAGATGCTCCCAATTGCCCCCTCCCCAAACCCCAAGCAACCAACCAACCAGTAATCTCTGTTTTTATGGATTTTCCTATTCTAGATATTTCATGTAAATGGAATCACAAAATGTGTGGTACTATGCATCTGGCTTCCTTCACTTAACAATGTTTTTATGGTTCATGTTAGTGGCATGTATCAGTGCTTCATTCCTTTTTATAGCTGAATGATATTCTCTCATGGTTATACCACATTTTGTCAGTTAGGTTGTTTGCAGCCTTTAGCTATTGTCAATGGAAGTACTATGAACATTCATGTACAAGTTTTTGTGTGGACAAATGCTTTCATTTCTCTTAGGTATATACCTAGGAGTGCAATTGCTGGGTAATATGGTAACTCTATATTTACTTTTCTGAAGAATTGCCAGACTCTTTTCTAAGTGCTGCACTATTTTACATTCCCATCAACAGTGTATGAGGGATCCAATTTTGCTACATCCTCACTAACACTTGTTATTACTTTTTTTATTATAGTCATTCTAATAGGTGTAAAATGACATCTCATTGTGGTTCTGATTTTCATTTCCCTAATGACTAATGATGTTAGGCATCTTTTCATGTGCTTCTTGGCCATTTGTGTATGTTCTTTGGAAAAATATCTATTCAAATTCTTTGCTCATTTTCTAATTGGGTTGTCTTTTTATTATTGAGTTGTAACAGTCCTTTATATATTAGGGTTACTAGACCCTTATCAGATATTTACCTGTAAATATTTATCTCCCATTCTGTGAGTTTCAATTTTTGAAGTGTCCTTTGAAGCACTGCTGAGCTATTTTTAATAAATATTAAAATATCTTAAGACAAACTAAATTAGGACTATGTAATTGGGGTCTAAATTATACACTTAAATTTAATAAGCATTGTAATTTTACAAGCAAACTATTGTTTGCAGACCACACTTTGAGGCTTCCAAATTAAGGGTCTCGAGTCCATGATGATAGATAGCTATTGCTTTTATAGTGTTTATATATGACAGGTGCTGTTTGGGCACTCTTCATGTATTAATGTATATAATTCTCACAACAATCCTATGATGTAGAGAATTACCATGATACGCACTGTACCAAACAGAGGCAGAGGAAGTTGAAGCAATTTGCCTGAAGCCAAAGAGTAAGTAGCAGGTGTGGGCCCCAGATTCCATTGCTCTCAACCAGCTGCCAAACTGCCAAAGCAGAATTAAATCATCCCTAAACCCTCACTTTGGCTTTGAAATAATAGTGCTTCCGTGGCGTCTACCACTTGAGGTATTTTCCCTCTCAGTACCAAGTCAGGTGTCTTCATTACTCCCTCCTCTCAAAGTCTGGCTTCAGGACCCTCTCACTTTGCCAACTGCCAAGAGGCTTTAGTGTGTGGAAATAATTGCGAAGTCGCCTGTGTCCCCCAGGTGGAGTAGTGCTAAATTTCTGGCGGCTAATGGGCTTCAGGGAGCAGCGGATTCAGCCCAATGAGGCTCGAAGCTGAGCCATGGGTGGAGCCAGCAGAGGGGGAGGAACGGAGTCCCTGTGGGGTGCCCACTGTGTGCAGAGCCGGCTGCCTTCAGCGGAGCCATGAGTTGGACCTGCCCACGTTGCCAGCAACCCGTTTTCTTCGGTGAGGCCCCAGCTGAGGAGGGGGAGAAGACTGGGCCGCTGGGTTCCCCGAGCACACGAGGAGCTGCTGAAGGGTGTGATCCCAGACCCCCGTTCCACCTATGGGGCATGGCACTCTGGTGGGAAGGAGCTGGCCTCCTGGAGACACTCCCCACTGCCTCTGCGGAGCAGGATGGAGCAGAAGGGGAAAGGAGGGCTCCCACTGCTTGGCTTGGCTGCCCTGAAGTCCCAGTTCCACCTTGTTCCCCACAGCGGAGAAGGTGAGCTCCCTGGGCAAGAACTGGCACCGCTTCTGCCTGAAATGTGAGCACTGCCACAGTGTCCTGTCCCCAGGAGGGCATGCAGAGGTGAGACCTATGTCTGTCACTGTCTCCCAGGCACTAGCCCCATTGCCCATCTGGAGGCTCACCAAAGGGAATCTCAGTAGCCAGCTCCCAAGACCACCACCATTTAGAGGGTGGGCCCCACACCAGCCAGGATTTGGAGACCCTGAGTTTTGCTGGTGGACTCCATGCCATTTGAGGGGAAGGAGGGGGCAGCGACACTGCTTCCTGCCCTGCCCTTGCTCTTTTCCCCTGACCACAGTGGCAATTCTGGCACGTCAACACATCCTGACCCCTCCCATTCCCACCAGCCCAGGCCAGGGGACCAACACACCTGGCAGCCTTTTGGGGGGAAAGGCCTGTGGAGCATGGGAGAAGGCCCCTTGGCCCTGAGCAACCCCCTTTCCTCTGCTTGTGCCTAGCACAACGGGAGGCCGTATTGCCACAAGCCATGCTATGGGGTTCTCTTTGGACCCAGGGGTAAGTACCAGCCAGGAAGGAGGCAGAGGGCAGCAGAAACCTTCCCTGTGGCAAGGGAGCTGGAGACTCAAGCCTGACCTCCCTTCTCTCTGCAGGGGTGAACATTGGTGGTGTGGGCTCCTATCTCTACAATTCCCCTATTCCCACCCCTGCCAGCACCATTCCTCTCGGCCCCAGCAGCTTCAGTCCTCCAAGGCCCAGGACTGGCCTCCCCAAGGGCAAGAAAAGTAAGTGAGGCTGGACCCCAGCTACCCCTCCTGAGCTTTTCCAGGCTGGAACACGGTGGGGCCAGGTGGCAATCTCACAGAGTCGTCTGCCTCATTCCTACAACTTTGTTCATGGATGGCAAAATCTTGTATTATCTGCAACTCCTTTTTTTATGTTCCCTCATGTCAGCTGCTGAGTTCAGAGGTAAAAGTGGGCAGATGGCATTACTACCCCCATTTTACAGGTGAGGAAACTGAGGTCCAGAGAGGGCAGGTGACCTTGTATAGTCACAGCTAGTCAGAGGCAAAGCTGGCCTGGAACTCAGGCCTCTCCCAGGCCAATCCCATGGAAGAAGAGACTTATGAGTGAGGAGTCATTGAGACAGGGCCAGCCCCTCACATTCTTCTACTTCTCCCCTCTCCCTGTTCTTTTCTGCTGTCCCCTGCAGTGGGCAATGACACCGTGCTCCCCAACACCTGACACCCCTGCCCTGGCCAGCTCCTATATCAGTTCAGGTTTCCTGAGGATTGAGTTGCTGACGGGGTTAGGCTGGTGGGCATCTGAGCCCCTGGGAGGATGAGAAGGAAGCAGGTGGTCCCGTTTGCATAGAGGGGTGGGACAGGAGGTAGGTCCGAGGAGACTGAGCTCTGTCTGAGGAAGGCATACTTATGACCACCTGGGTGGGAGGCTCTGGGGTGAGCATGGCTGTTGGAAGAGGACGGTGCCATATGCAGGCTGGTGCTAGAGGGCCCTACTTAGGCCTGGCCCCCACTCAGCCCTAGCCAGGGCCTCTTCTCCTTAAAGGCCCCTTGCACATGAAGACATTCACTGGGGAGACCTCACTGTGCCCTGGCTGTGAAGAACCTGTCTACTTTGGTAAGTGATAAGGGAAAATGTGGAGAGGGGAGAAAGTGCAAGGTGAGCATCAAAGGGCAGGGAGGTGGTGCAAGGCAGGTGGTTCTCCTGCCCTGCCCTTAGGGCTACTACCTCTCTCTACCACCAGCTGAGAAGGTGATGTCTTTGGGCAGAAATTGGCACCGACCCTGTCTGAGGTGCCAGCGCTGCCGGAAGACCCTGACTGCTGGGAGTCATGCTGAGGTGAGCAAGGAAGGGATGGGTTGTTATGTTGGGAGGAGAGAGGCTGGAGATAGAAAAAGAACTGCACTGAGAGGGCTCTCTTTCTCTCTGTGTCCCAGCATGATGGCGTCCCCTACTGCCACATCCCCTGCTACGGCTACCTGTTTGGCCCCAAAGGTGGGCAGTTCCACCCTAGACACTGGGCCTAAAGTATGGCATGTGGGTCTGTGGTTATGTGTGGACAACTTCCCCTGTAGTCGGACATATCCCAGGTCCTTCCCAGTTCCCTCTAGCCCTCAGCCCAGTGCCCTCCGTCCCCAAGGCCCTTGGTGATGGGGCTTTCTCCCTCAGGTGTGAACATTGGTGATGTGGGCTGCTACATCTATGACCCCGTGGAGATAAAATCCAAATAAGATGCTTACAGGAGAGGTCACCCTGACTTGGGCCTCCAGCCATCCCCTCCATGGTTCAATGGGAGCTACAGAATTCTTCAGTCCCATGGAGGTAGGGGAAGGTGGGATTCTGGCAGCCTGGGCCTCAGTTCCATGGTAGACCGAAAAGTCTAGACTTTCCCTGCCAAGTCATCCCTTTCTCATGCCTATCTGCTCAGGGGAATTGAGACACTTCATTTTGAAGGGTGGCTTCCTGGCCTTCCCAATTCCTTTCCCCAGCAAATTATATAACTTCAAGGTACTCATAAAACTTGTTTGTCCTGGCTTCTCCAATAAAATGTTGACTCCCATGCCTTCAACTCTTCTTTGGGCATAGACAGTGGGTTGGAGGGTGGATAGTGTGGGGATGGGGTTACCCATTACCTTACATTGCCAACCATGGAGCAAAGAACTCTGTTCTCCAGGTCCCCTGGCCCTGACATCAGGCAGCCCCCAGCACCACACAGTGGACAGCATGCCCACAGCCCTGTTGGTACCAGAGGTCATCATAGGACAGTCCCTTCTTTAGCACCACCTCTAGAAGAAGAACCTTATTCAGCAATTCACTGAGTATGGCAACAGATAGATCTTGTGGTGAGGTCTGTTCAGAAGCTTCATTGTCCATTTGATAGATGAACAGACTGAGGTCCAAAAAGGGAAAGCCACATGCCCAAGGTCACACAGCAAATCAGTGGCAAAGCTGAAGCCAGCACCAGACTCAATGGCTTCCCATCCAGGGCTTGTCCCACAGCTCCATACTGATGCCCCAACCTAGAGGCACAGAGTCCCACCAGCTATGAGAGAGGTGCCAGAATTCTCCAGCAGCCCACTGCATTCTGGGAAGTTGCTCTATTGCCAGAAGTTGGATGAGCAAAGAGAAGGGCATAGAGAGCAAATTTGACCTTGAGCAGGGAGCTCTATGCCTCCAGCCCCTGGTCACAGGGCTTTCCCTTTTGCTCTCACAGCCCCTGATGCAGAACTTCTGTGGAAGGATGCTCCTTAAGCCACTCAGTCATGGGCCTGCTTCATGGGCATCTGTTCCTCCTGAAGGCTGGATGGGGCACTGGGGAGGAAGGAACCATGAGAAATGGTGGGGTTTAGCCCCCAAGCCTGCCACCCCAGCCTGCCCCGTCAGTGCTGGCCTAGGGCTCCCTCAGTCCTGGTATATAAACATGTACTCCCACAAGTGACTCCCACACACGCTTGTACATATCCCTGATGTGTAGGCATACCTGAATGTGCACACATCCACCTCTCCCTGGACAGTCTTGGGTATTTATGTACACACACACGGACTCATGTTTGCTTTTGTTTTCTTTTATACACACAGTTGACATGCTGTGTGTATGTCATACAGGTGTATGACACAGGTCATGCACCTGTGCATGCTTACATACATGTACTGGATACATACATGCAGACGTGTCTTCCTCTGAATCCCACCTAAGGTGTCAGGTACCTGAGCACCCATACCCACATGCATGTGCACATACCTCTTCCTCTCCACGTCCTGGATGGTCTCTGGCAGCTGTGCCTGCCTTGTCTCGGGCAACAGGAGAGCAGTAAAGGCAGCCAGCAGGGCAATCCCCCCATAAGTGAGCTTGGGCAGTGGCAGCCATACTCCATCCAGCAAGGCTACCAGTGGAGCCAAAGAGCCGCCCAGCCGGCCCACCAGTGCAGTCAGCCCCATCCCTGTCTGTCTGTTCAGAGAAAGGATGGGGGGTTGGTGCCCACAGTTGCTTGTGGCAATTGCCTCATAGGTCTCCCTGCCCAGGGCTGGCAGGGGGTACTCCTCTAGTACCCCCTTACCCCCCAAGGCAGCTAAGAAAGCTGGGGCTTCTTTCAGGTGGTCTTCCCACCAAACCCCTGGCCAGGAGGACCTAAGCCAACACCACCAGAGGATGAGGCCCCATTCTGACAGAGTATCAGTCAGGTATCACTGAAGGAAAAGAAACATCATCAGAAAGCGGATGGGAACGGGGTCAGCAGCTCATACACACTCTGCCATGTTGTTAGAGAATGCAAGGTTTTCTAATACCCAGCTACCTACAACTCTCCTCTTCACCTGCCAATAGCTAGTTGCAAGGGCCCCAGGCCTTATGTTCTGAGACAACTCCCAAGGGCAGCACCGCGTAGGCTGTGGGGGATGTGATGGAATGGGCAGGTAGGGCTTTTGCCACGATTTTGTTTTTTAAAAAGCCCAGAGAAGTTTTCTGACCTTGCTCGGGGTCATTTAGTAAAGATAAAATGTCCCTGCCTTCTCACTGATTGAGGCAGAGACTGATTAGCTCTGTATTCCAAGTGTGGCGCAAGGAATGGGCAAGAGGACTGGGCTACAGTGTGTTGTGTGTATGTGGGCGTGTTGGTAAAAGATGAGACCAACAAACTCTCCCCAGGCTTGCCAGGGACTCAGGTTCCCCTCACCTGAGCACAGTAGGGTACAACTCCGAGGTAAACAGGTAGGCAGTGGTGAAGGCAGCTTCAGAAAAACCTTTCCCTATCACCGCCAGGGTGGTGCTCCAGGACACCATCTCTGGAGGAAAAGAGGTTCAGGCAGTGAGGCTCCCAGGACTGGAACTGGAGTCTCCAGAGAGAATGAGGCTTCGGGATTGGGCGGGGCTTCTTGACCAAGGGGCGGGGCATCCGGGAATGGGCGGGGCCCCGTGCCAGGCCTACCTGAGGACACAAGCAGCCTGATGCCGAAGGAGAGGGCGCTGCCCAGCAGTGCTCCTGCGATTGTGAGGCGGCGTCCTGCGTGGCGCACGGACAGGTAGACCAGCAGCTTGGAAGGCAGCTCCACAGCCCCGAACAGCAGCTGCGTCTGATACACATTCAGCCCCAGCCCCGACACGTCCAGGCTCAGGCCGTAATAGGAGAAGTTCACTGCAAACCTGAGAGGAGTCCGGGTCATGATGCCACTCAGGGGCCTCTTTCCCACCCACCTTGTCCTCTCAGAGAGCCTTGGCCTTTTAGAGTAACTGCCACTTTCGCCTAGTGGCCAAAGCGCCTTAGCCTAATCTTCACAGCAACCCTGTGAGGTAGGAACTAAAGTTTGGTAAAGTGTCCTTTTACCAAAGGGGCAACTGTTCAAGGTCTCAATAAGGAAGTGGCAGAGCCTTAATTTGAACCCACCTGTCTCTGATGCCTGCTCCATCTGCAGACCTTCCAGAGCCCCATCCCCTCCGCCCCTCCGCCTACTACCCCCACCCCAGCCCTCCACAATTACAGTTCAGGGGTCCGTTTCCCATCACACTCGGCCTCATCCTGATGTCGGCCCCTCCCTTCACTCCTCCACACCCTGCCTGGCCCAGGCCAGCTCCCTCCTCACCACACCACCATGCAGCACAGTGAGATGTGTCGGAGCCGTGGTGTCCGGAACAGGTCTAGGTATGAAGGTCTTTGGACCACCCGCTCTGTAGCTGCCACTTTGCTCAGCTCCTGGTGGGGGAGGAGGAGAAATTGTGACATGGAGTTGACTGTGGCCTTAGCAAGGCACATTGCTCTCTCTGGGTCTCTATTCCTTCCTCCTTCATTGGAGGGGAGGGATGCACATGAGAGCTGAGTAGGGTAAGCAACATCAAGGGTCAAGCCCACCAGAGAACATTATGGGAGAACCTACACTCAAGCAGGGAGCTTTTCCTGCACACACACAGTGGGCCCCAGAAAGGGGGTGCTTGACACAGGCCATGCTCACGCATGTACTTGCATGTGCTCACACACATTCACCCTCACCTCCAGGCTCAGGCTGTCCTCACCCACAGGCCGCCTATTGAGCCTGGCGCAGCGGAGCAGGTACCTGTGGGCCTCCTCCAAACGGCCCTGTGTCAGGAGCCAGCGTGCAGACTCAGGCACCCACCTGGGGGACAGTGGGGGACCCTTCAGTCAGTCAGCACCCTGAGACATGTCTCCCTCCGGGGCACACCATAGGCTGTCCCCTCAAGGATGTCCCCCCTGGAACATCTCCCCAGCCCTCCTGACCTGATGAACTTTTATTCGTTCTTTAAGACCAAATTTAAAAGCCACCTTTTCCCACACTTCTTTGCCCAGGCCTAGGTTCTCCACAGTCCAGGACTCCCCTCTCTACTCAGCTGGACTGGTCTCACCCAAGCCCCCAGGAAGAGTAACCCACTTTTCCCACAGGTGGCAGGAGGGTATAGGATGAAGAGAGACAGACATACAAACATACCCAGACGGTTCATCCGAAGCCAGTTCCTTTGGAGAAGGCAATGAAATGCCCACCCTGCCTGGCCTTCTACCCTCCTACTTGGACTTTCTACCTCTGTGCTGGCTTTGTCCTTATTCCCACCCCATCCCGGGCCCCAGCCTCCGTTTGTGTTTGGTTCTGTTTCTCGTGTATCCGTCTCCATCTGCCCCTCTGAAGCTTTCAGTCCTGGTCTGCGTCACTCACTGCCTCTCACTGGTTCTGTCTCTGTCTCTCTATATTTTGTTCTGTGTTTCTCTGCATCTCATGTATTGGTCTCTGTCTCTTGGTCACTGACTGTTTCTCATTCTCTTTGTCTCCGTCTCCTTGTTTTCAAATCTCAGTCTCTGATTAATTCTGTCTCTGGCTCTTATATCTCCCACTCCCCACCTGCCCACAGGCCTCACCAGAGGCTGAGGATGCCTGGGACACAAGGCAGGGTGACAACCAGCAGAAGCCATCGCCAGTCCCGAATCAGGTACCCGACCAGTGCCAGCAGCATCACGCCCCCCGTCCAGAAGGTGCTGCTCAGGACACCTGCCACAATGCGGTGTTCCACGTCCAGCCACTCCAGCTCTGAGCCCACAGCCGAAGATAAGAAGACAGCAAGGACAGATGGGCTTAGTCTCACCCTTGACAGTTGCCTCCCTCTGCCCCTCTAGGTCCTGTTTGTTCTTCGCCTGCCTTACCCAGCGGCATCACAATGATGGTGAAGCCCGCCAGGGCAGTGCCAGTGAGGGTGCGGATGACTGCAAACATAATATAGCTGACAGAGGCTGCGGATGCCAGGCCCATCGCCAGGGTACTCACATAGGCCACCAGCAGCAGGCGGCGCCGCCCAAACCTGCACCAGGGTCACACAGGGTTAGCTCCTGTAGAGGGGAGGTCCCTGGACAGAGGGAGACTAGGCCCCGACCCCAGCCAGTGGGAGAAGGTTGTCCACCCCACTCCCTTATCGCCTACCCCAGCTCACCCCACCTGTCAGACAGGTATCCGAAGGCCACAGCCCCCACCAGCACACCGGCAAAGAAGAAGGTGGAAGCGGCTCTGTTCAGGCCCTTCTGCTCACACACGAGGTCCCACTGCAGGGTCAGGCAAGGAGGGGCCTCCCATGGGAACAGGCCCCTCTCCAGCTGGCCCCAACCCCTCTCCAGACCCTGGGGCCTTCTGGGGTCCACAGTGCCATGCTGGTACCTCCATGTCAGATAATCAAACCCCAACTGTTCACCCCATCTTGGGGGGGTGGGACACTG